CCACACACCACAAGGCCAGGCCCTCGAGTTACTTCCCCTCCCAGGGCTGGGATGGATGGGTCCTAACTGAACCACACACTCTTTCCTGATCTCTCTTGCTTTGGGAACAGAGCTGGCTGAGGTTGAGGACACTAGCTGAGGCTCTGGAACTAAGGTTTTGGCTGTACGAAAGGCACAGGTGTTGACATTCATGATGTGCAGGAAATGAACCGCACAGATTTTTAAAGAGATTACCAACCCATCACGCTTCCCACTCTGTCCTGGGAGTGGGTACTGGGTAGGTGGGCTGGGGGAGGGCTTTCATGGGTTGGGGAACTTCATTTTCTCATGAGTCGGGGTGAGGAGAGTTAGTGTCCCTGAGCAGAAAGTAAACAATCAGGTCTACGGCCTGAAGCATGCAGTGAAATGAATCCTCCACACCAATTCCTCTCGTGGAGCCCAGCATGGAGAGAGGTAGAATACAGGAGTGAATACACCTCAATGAAGGAGTGAATTTGGGGAGACCGTTAGGATACAGGTGGAGGCTGACCCCTACGCATGTGTCACTCCTGTTGCTAAGACTGCCCTGGCCTCCCCTCCCAGAGCTCCCATAACGCCTTCCCTTAGCAGCTCCCAAAGACATCCCCGTCCTAAATCCCAGGAAATATGCGTGTGTGAGGCTCCATGGCCGTGGAGGATGAAGGCAGAAGGTGGAAGTAAGGTTGCTGATCAGGTGACCGTAAAAGAGGGAGCTCATTCTAGATTATACAGGTAGTCTGATGTCATGAAAAGTGGAACAGAGAGATGGCAGCATGAGGACTGAGATCAAGGTCAGTGGCTTTGGAAAAGGCAGGGGGAGACTGTGAGCCAAGGAACGCAGGAGGCCTCTAGCAGCTACACGAGGGCAAGGGAACGGCATCTCCCCTGGAGCCTCTAGAAGGAACAGAGTCCTGCGAACACCTTGATTTTAGCCCAAGGAGACCCATTTCAGACCTCTGACCTCCAGCACTGGGAGAGAATCAGTTCGTGTTGTTTAAGCTCCTGCATTTATGACAATTTATTACAGCAGCAAGAAGAGACTGATACACCATGTATCATTATACTTATGCTAATGTAATTCTTTTTATATGCCTAACTCTCCCTTCCGTAATGATGATGATAATAATAACTGCAGCTCACATTTGTGGAGCACTTAACATGCAGCAGAGCTTTTCTAAGTGTTTTACCAAGTTTTTCATTAGAGGCAGGACAGTATGAAAAGGTACTTCAATAGACCACTAAGACGAAGGCACACACAAGGAACTGAGAGTTCGGGAGGGAGTAGAGACATCTTCAAGAGGATACAGACGCAGGTATAGCCCTGGCCAGGTGGCTCAGTTGGTTGGAGCATTGTCCTGTACACGGATAGGTTGTGGGTTTGCTCCCCAGTCAGGGCACATACCTAGGTTGCAGGTTCAATCCTCAGTCATGGTGCGTACTAGAGGTAAATGATGGATATTTCTTTCTCACATTGCTGTTTCTCTCTCCCCTTCTCTCAAATCATTAAACATGCCCTAGGGTGAAGATTAAAAAAAAAACAAAAACAAGACAGGTATATTTTAACAGATGAGTAGGAGTTAGCCTGGAAGAGGTGAAAAAAAGCCCAGGCAGGGGAAGGACATGAGAGAAATGTGATGCAGATGTGTGCTGGCAAGCACTTTGGAGGCTCAGCTCCAGGCTGATGACTCCTGCCTTAGTGTCTCCAGCCTGTAAGTCTCTTCCGAGGTCCAGAATCGCATGCCCTCATGTCTGCCTGCAGTCCGCACCTGGATGGCTCGTAGACACTTCAGCTCAGCATGGCCAGTATGGAAACTCACTCCCTGCAGGAACATGTTCCTCTACTAGTTTACCAGGTCTCCGAAAGGGACACCCAGCTCGGTGTGACAGCAGCAGGCAAGCCAGAACCCAGCAGTCATCCTGGGGCCCTTCCCCCTGCTCCACACCCCATTTGATCCATCACCAAATCTCATCAATCCTGTCTCCAAGGTTTAAGAGGTGACTCTCACTTCTCTCCACGTCCACCGCTACCACCCGGGTCCTAGCTCTCATCATGGCTCTGGTTTAGTGCAATGGTGTCCTAACTGGTGTCCCTGCTTCAACCTTTTGTCCCCTGTGATCAGCAGTTCAGAAAGCAGTAATCTCTTAATGTCTATCAAACTCCATTGCTGAGCCCACCCACACTCACCAATGCTTCCCTTTGTAGTGGTCAGAGAAACCTGCCCAGCATGGCCCTGAACCTGCTGTGTAATCCGGGCCCCATCTCCCTCTAAAACTTCACCTAATGCCACTCTCTCCATCTCTCCCTTACAGCCTGGCCCTCCCGACTTCCCTCGCCCCCAAGAACATATCAAACTCTTTTGTGCACAGAGGACTTTACACATTCTGATCCCCTGCCTGGAATGCACTCCCCTGCAACCTGTCTGCCCGGCCAGTTCCTTCTAAACTTTCCAGTCTCAGAAGCCTTTCTCTAGCAACATTGGGACTGCCCCCACCCCAGTTCACTGAGGGCATCATTTCCATCCCTTATTTGTTTCCTCGATAATAAGAATCACAACCTTTCATCTGTGAGAAGTTACCCGCTTCTTTATTTTCGCCTAGCTCCTCCCCTGGAATGCAGGCTCCACGAGGGCAGGGCCAGGTCTATCTGGTTCACTGGGACTTCCCACAGTGCTTAGCATGGAGCAGATGCTCAACAGAGGCTTGCGGAATTGCCTAATTATAAGAGAATGTGTGAGGCTAACGCTGAGAGATGAGGCTGGAAATAAAGACTTGAATATAGGGTCCTAGTCATCTTGCAGACCTGGGCCTCCCACAGGGGGGCCACTCAGCAAATGCATACTGGCTGAAGGAAAGCATGGCCAGTCCACAGGAATCTGAAGTGTCCTTTCTGGGTGAGGCCCCCAAAGGAGTTCCTTCTCCTCCTTGGGACTTCTGAGGAAGCACCATGTCTAGCGCCAACAGCGCGGGCTCAATAAATACTAGTTGTCCTTGTCACTGTTGCTCATGTGGGAATCATTCGTGCATCCCACAGAAACGGCTTCTTCTCGAGCCCATGCCAGATACAGTGGGTGGGAGGGAGGTGGGAGGAAGCAACACAGGAGGGGAAGATGAGAACGGGATGCAGGATCTAGTCAAAGCCACTTCTTTCCTCCAGACGTGGGCCACCTGGGTGCAGCGTGGAGAGGCCAGTTGGGCAGGGGGACCTCTGGAGGGATCGGGAAGGGCCCCATCCCAATGCACACAATTACTGAGGGGCCTGCAAGGAGCCAACTGGTTTTACAGATCTGGCTCACTGTGGCTGGTGAGGACTGGGGAGGTGGAGAGAATTTCAATTTCCTTCACCAAATGGCAAGCTTGCGAAAAAGTCCTTTCTCTCTAACATTATCGCATACTAAAAATGAAAAACCAGCCATTCGGAGGAAAATAGATGGGCTGCTTAGCTCACAAGATACAAGAGGGCTGAAAATCAAGTCTGGAGAACATCATAAGGTACTTTATGTGCTAAGACACTGGCCTTTTTCGGACCTGGAAGTTTCTATTTTTTACAAAAGAATAGGAGCAAGAAAAATAATTCTCCATATAATAAGCCACTCATTTTATATTTAAAATCCATTTGGTGGCTGAATCTCCAAATCCATTTAATGGGTTATGAATTACTTTGGTAACTCTTTATCTCAAAACATGCAGTTTGAAATAATGGCCTATTTCAAAAAACAGGCAGTCACAGATAAGACGGGACCAGAGACGGCACTAAACAAGAACGGTCACGATGCAAAGAAGACATGTTTCCAAATGTTTTATGACAGATCACAAACTGGCACAGGGAAAGGAGCAGTGGCCCGGAGCCTGATAACAGCCCTGTGACCTTGGGTAAGTCACTGCACCTCTCCTAGCCTCACTGTATTGTATAACAAGAAGGGGCTGAAACAGATGTTCTCCAAGATCCTTTTTTCTCACTGAGCTGTTGAAGTTTCCTGAAGACCTACATCTTTTTCCTTTACTCTCACCCTCACCTTGCAAAATGGGAAGACCCTGGGGTAACGGTGGCAATAGACATAAAACTGGACTCGACATTGAATTACGCTTTACAATCCCAAACATTCATCACTCAGCAGCCCGGCCCTGCCGTCAGCCCAGAATCAATGGTGCCCAGATGAACTGACCAAGTCTATGGGAAAAGCAGCAGAAAGTTCTTGTTCTTTCTGATTAGGGCAAGTAAAGCTGAGGTCAGGTTAACGACAATCTGCACTTGGCCCTCCATCCCCCCTGCCCAGTGGAAAAATAAATTATTAAAGGGAACCGCTGTAGGAATGCCCGAGAACTCTCGGGATGTCTGAAACCGCTGAATGCCAGACGCCAGTGAGTTTCTTTTTTTTCTTTCAAACTTCAAGTCGCTCTCAGGAAATGCAGCAGGTCCCCAAATGGTATAAGTGTTAAATCACAACCCGCTTCCCAGTCTTCCTGATAGCGAACAACAACCCCCAAGTGGGAATCTTTTTTCCCCTTTGATTCATTTGCTTTGAGCAAGCATCCTGGGGCCTGCCGGGCAGCGCTGCATCTAGGCAGGGCCGGGGATCCGGGGCCCGAGAGGCCAGGCCAACCCTTCCAGGAACGCGGGGAACTTTCTTCCGCCGCGCCAGGGAGACAATGCCAGCGCCCGCGCTCTGCATCAAGAAGGCGCCCCATCAACGGGGCCCCGCCACCAGGCGCGCTGTCCCGGGCCCTCTCTGGAGGATGCGCCGCCACAGGGCCCCACATGCCCCCACCTGGGCGCCACCTCCGGGGATCAGACCCCCTAGGCCTTGCAGAGCTCGGGGCGGGCCGGAACCCTCCCCGCGGAAAGGGACGCCCCACTGGGAATACAGCCTGGAGCACGCCCAGCGAGTGCACCGTCCCAGCGCCTCTCCACGCAGGGTCCGGGCCAGGGGTTCCGACAACCCTGGGTGACCCAGCCATGCAGGACCGGGCGACCTGCAACTCACCGGGACCAGGCGAGCCGCTGGGCATTATTCCATCGCGGGCTCGGCGACGGCTCCGCAGACGCCCGCGCCCCGGCCCCCTCGGCCGAGTGATCGGGGCTCTCGGAGCTGAACGCAGGGTGCGGCGGAGAGCTGCGGACGCGGTGGGGGGCGCGGGCCGGGCTGCCCAAACGCGGAGTGCCCGCCCGCAACGGCGGCGGCCAGGCGAGGCTCGGGCGGCGAGCGCGGCGCAGGAAGGGGCGGGCGACCATGTGCCGGGGGGAGGAGGCCCTAGCGACGCGCGCTGCTTGGACGATCCCGCTCTGCGGCGAGGGCGCGGGTTTCAGGAAATCCAAACACTTCGACAGGAAATCAGGATCCTGACTAAGCATTCCCGTCCGGCCGCCACTCTGCGCCGGGGGGCTCCCGCCTCGCTTAACCCTTGGCCCACCGGCACGCAGGCCGGGGGGGACGGGCGGGGTCTCCGACACCGGAGGTGGGCGCCACGGATTCCCGGTGAGCGAACCCGCCTGGGGTCAGGAGTCCTGCCGCTCCGCCCCACTCCTCCTCCAGCCTGCCTCCTCCTTGCGCGGGGGTGGAAGCGATGGGATTTGCAGGAAACCTTGGCCTTGGAAGATGCCTTTCTAAGGCCCCCAACTACAAGAACGCATCTTGGCCTCCTCTCCCCATCCTGCAGAGGACAAACTTGGAATCTCCAAGCTCCTTCCCCTGTTTTCTACAATAGAAATGACTTTTACCTGGCTGCCCCCTTTCACTGCCTCCGCCCTGCTAATTTCCTCAAATGTTGCCCAGTGTCAAGGGACAGAAATGTTAACAGGACAGTATAGTAACCGTGCAGCAGTGATGGTATGGACTTCAGACTGGGCCCGGGTTGGAACTGGGCTTTGCCTTTTTGCCAGCTGTGTTACCTTAGGTAAGTCACTGAGCTTCTCTGAGCCTCCCTATCCTTAAATGTGAAATGAGGCAGTAATGCCCCCTCAGGTTTGATTTGGCAACTGAATGTTCAGACTCGGACTGACACATTGGTAATGCTCACAGAAGTGACAGCCATCGTTGTACTCAGTCAGGGACCCCAGAGAGGAGGGCTTTAACCTGCGGGGAGTGTGCTGTGCACCTCTGTGGCTACTGACAAAGCCTTAGAACATCATTTTCCTCCCAGTCTCCCAGTGATGATGATGATGACGATGATGATGATGACGATGACTGCAACGTTTCAGAAACTGCCCCCAGCTGAGGAAAAGGTTAGTGGCTGTGGCAGACCCTGTTCTGGTGAAATCCGAAACTCACCAAACCTCACAGAACTGGGGGTTTTGCTCTCAGCCCGAGTCAGGACATTGTCCGGGTTTGCGAAGGAGTCTGGCGAGGCCTTATAGAGTTGGCGAAAACCGAAGCGGATCTCTGTCCAGTCAGGCCTGAACCGAGCGGCCAGCGGCAGTGACTCACTGTGGTTTCCCATGGAAATGCCGCAGGTGGGGGTTTCTGCCTTTGGGTGGAGGCTGCAGCTTGGCGGTTTGGCTGTGAGCGTTTCAAATTCCCTTGAAACCCAGTCAGACTTTGAAGAGGGAACAACATGCCCGTGAGTGAAAACCAAAGCTTGAAATGAACCTGCGAGGAACTGAAAGTTGGGCATCAGCTCCTCTGCTCCAAAGAAGGACCGGACATCAGCTCTAGACCCAGGCCTCTCTCTTTTCTGCAACTCTTTTTCAGTGGTCAGAGGCGGTGGGAGCTTGGGGCTTGGCACTGAGAGTCCAGGGTCCTGCTCCAGACCCTCTGCAGCTGCTGTTCCCTCTGCCTCGGAGAGTCTCCACCAGCTGTTCTGGGCACTCAGCTCTCACCTCAAAAGTCAGCTCCTCCAAGGGGGCTTCCCCCAGCCGTTCGATCTACTTGTCTTGGACACCTGTGCTCCCACCTGCACCTTTCCCCGCATCCCATGCCGTGTGGCATTGCTCCGTAACCCTCCTCGCTGTTTAATTTTTCCTGTGCATTGCCTGTCTGGCCTGCACGGGCAGAAGCTGCATGAGAGCAGGACTGCTGCCTGTCTCCATCACTCAGTGCCAAGACCAGTGCTGGCCCACAGGGGACCCTCAACCGAGACATGTCCCATGAATGAAGGGGGCAAACGAAATGAGAGCTGCAAGTTCACTCTGCCCCTTAGCTGCCTGTGTGCTTCTGCTTTGGCGGAGAGGCTCCGAAACGGGAAAGCCCAGTGTGATGGAGGAAGTGCCGGTCGTCTCCGTTAGTGGTTCTGGAAAGTGAACACTGTAAGTAATTCAGACCGGCAGACGGCACAGGTGCAGTCTCATTGGTACAGTCTCAGTTAATTGCTCCTCCCACCCTGTACTGTGTTCATATAAATGACGTATGTATCGAATTATATGTTTGCTCTGTGAGTGGCCCCCTACGCCAGATGGCACCCCTTCAAGTTGGAGAGAAAGGAAAGGAGCCTGCATTTATTGAGCACTTACTCTGAGCGGGGCCCTGGGCCAGGTGGGTTTGAACTCATGAAAAGGCATTGGTTAAGGGCCTATGATGGGCTCAGAAACCTTCTGGGCACTAGATTGGCAGAGATAAATTTGTTGCTCTCTAGGGAAGACAGGCAAGAAAGTTCTGTTTAGAAAGCAGAGAGACGATAACGCCAAAAGAGGTCTGTCCAGGGTGTCATGGGCTGTATGGAGCATCTGGGGTGGGGCAGGGAGGGGGTGGGGGGCGGTACCCATTCCTGTATCAGCATTGGGGAGAGTCTTAGTCTGTGCAGGCTGCTACACTACCAAGGATGCAGTAACTTCTAAACAACACACGTTTGTTTCCCACAGTTCTGGAGGCTTGGAAATCTGACATAGGTGTGGACAGGCTTGGTGTCTGGTGAGGACCTCCTTCCTAGTTCATGGACAGCCATCTTTTCACTGTATCCTCACGCCGTGCAAGGGCCAAGGGCAAGGTTGCTCCCTGAGGTCTGTTTTAGTAGGGCACTAACTCCATTCCTGAGAGCTCCACCCATATGACCTAATCTCCTTCCAAGGCCTCAGCTCCTAATTCCATCACTTGGAGGGTTACGATCTCAACCTATAAATTTGGGAGGCAGGGACACAAACATTTAATCCATAGCAAAAAGTTACAAGGCACTTCCCCCAAAATGGGGGTCCAGCGACCAAGTTTCAGGGACGAAGTGAGGTTTCTCCAGCCAGATGAGGAGGCACAGGCCTGCCGACCAGAGCAGAAACCACAGGTGCTGCTGGTGCTCAGCTCTGAGTCCCCTGTGCCCAACTCTGAGCTCACCTGCTGCTGCAATTTGTACCACAGTCCAAGGAACTGCCCACCCGAGGCACACACCTCTCCTCTCTGCCTGAGGCCTCTCTCCAGAGCTGTGGGATCTTAGCCAGACTGCAAGTGCCAATAGCCTTGCAGGGTCGCCCCCCAACCAATCAGTGGATGCATGTCCCAGCTTCCCACCCCTAAGAGGGAGACAGCCCTACAGGACTTTCAACACAGTCCCCCAGATGGCTCCCCACAAGTAACTGTCCTTAACTTACGCTTCATGCTTCATCTCTCCCCTGCCCCACTTTCTCACTCCCTATTTGTTCTTCCTGGGATCTATCGCCTAGCAAATAACCCAGCTGCACCCACCTTCTTGTCTCAAGATTTGTTCCTGGGGAAACACAATCCAGGGCAGCATTCATTCACTTATTCACAGATACTGACAAGGTGCCCGCTGCGGGCCTGAGCAAAGACTGAGTATAAGCACATAATATACTGGGATAACTCTGCAAGGTTCAGCACAGTCTGAGGGAAGGGTGCATGCTCAGGTATGGGAGACTGAAAAGCTTTGCACCGTTTTACAGTTGAGGAAACCGAGGCACAGGAGCAGTGAGTAACCGGCTCAAGGCCAAACACTTAGTGTGTACAAGTGCTTTGGAGTCCAGCCTTCTAACCACCAGCTGTGCCTCCTTCCCCGGTGGTCAAAGCTGTGGGTGCAGCTGCAGGTGAGCTCGCTCATGGGGAAGGTATAGGGCGAGAAGATACTGGGATCAGGGTTGAAGACTGAGGGACCCTGTAGGTGGCAGAGGAAGAGGTGCCCTTCAAGACAGAGAGTAGTCAGAGGAAGGAAGTGGAGGAAAACCAGGGGCAAGGGACGAAATTGCTTCTAGAAGGAATGGCCAACACCCTTGGTTGCCCCAGAAAATTCAATCAGTCAGGGTTGGAAAGCAAGTGTCATTTTATCCAGCAACTAGAAGGCTGGTAACTTTTAGCAGAGCTGTCTCAATGGAGTGGAGGGATTGCAAGCCAGATTGCAGTGGGTTGAGCACTGAGTGGGAGATAGCAAGTGTAGACACTTCTCTGCAGAAACATGGCCATCCAGTTAGTGGGAGGTAAGTGCGCAGGACTCTTTAGAGAGGGTGGGAGAGTGAGCATCTGTGGTTGATGGGAGGGTCCCAGGGAGGGGAAGAGGGTGAGGAGGAAGGGCAGGGTCCCTGATGGAACAGGTCCTGAAGGGCAAAGGGGACGGGATCTAGAGTCCGGTGGGAGGGGACAAGCACCGGACCGGAGGAGGGCCACCTCGTCCAGGGGAACAGAGCTCCACAGGGAACAGGTGCAGAACTCTCAAGTTCCATCGGGATCTGACCCTGGATTTACAGATTAGACGTTAGGTGGGCTCTTAAGGACCCTCTAGTTTAATTCCTCATGACATTTACGCTCTGGGTGAAATGAATTCATTCAAATGTAGATGAGTAAAAAGTGACTTCAGCCTCATCACTGGTAATGAAATAGCATAAGAAGCTATTTTGGCCCAAAGTAGGTTAGGGAAGTAGGAAGGAGAGCATGAGCAGGAGGGACCTAGGAGCCAGAACAGATACAGCTTGGTGACTAATGGTGGGGTGGGGACAATGGCGCCCACCTGTGAGGAGGGTGATGCGTTTAACCCTGATAAAGAGCAAGGGAGGGGCAGATTTGGGGGAGAAAGATAATGAGTTCCTGTTTGTGATTAGTGCTGGGAGGGCGGGAAGGCGGTGTGGGTGGCGGATACAAGTCTGCAGCTTCTCTGGGCTGGGGAGGCGGGGGTGGTAGGTTTGAGGGTAGTAGGAGGGGGGACACAGGGACCTGCACAGTTGGCGAGTGGGGGAGTCAGCACCTAAAAGCCAAAACCCTTTGCTAGCTTCTCAATCTTGTTTCGTAGCCATTTTTCTGACTCAGGGGTTCTCGACCTTGGCCCTGTCAACATACTGAACCCGATTGCTCTTCGTTGTGGGGGCTTCCTATGCTTGGTGGGATGAGAAGCAGCGTCTCTGGCCTCAGCCCAGCGGAGGCCAGTAGCAAACCCCCAGTTGTAACAATTAAAAGGTCTCCGGATATTGCAAAATGTCCCCTGGGGTGGGGGCTAA